GATGCTCAAGTCGGCGGTGCTGTGGCGCAAGCGCTTCGGCATCGACGAGCTCCTGGGCGCCGAGCTCGGCCTGCCGGAGCTGGAGAACGTGGTGTTCTACCGCGGCGCCGACCGCGAGGGCCACCCCGTCTGCTACAACGTCTACGGCGAGTTCCAGGACAAGGAGCTCTACGAGAAGGCCTTCGGCGACGAGGAGAAGCGGGAGCGCTTCCTCCAGTGGCGCATCCAGCTCCTCGAGCGCGGCATCTGGGAGCAGCTCGACTTCTCGCCCAGTGGCATCTGCTCCATGGTGCAGGTCACCGACCTCAAGAACTCGCCGCCCATGCTCGGCAAGCACCGCACCGTCACACGCCAGGCTCTCGCCCTGCTCCAGGACAACTACCCCGAGTTCGTGGCCAAGAAGGTACAATTTCTCTTCCTCTTCTTTTACACCGGATCGAATCATCCGTCCCCTAGAATTGTTCAAAAGAAACAAGGAATGATCTCTGATCCTAGAATCCTAGTCTAATTCTACCATTTCATCTAAGAAGTTGAGAATTCCCACGTATTCAGTTTTGTGCTTGGTTAAAAATAGGATCTCTAAATTCTCTAGGCCGTCGTCATGCTTGTTTGTAGTAACAGTAAAGTTCAGTAGGCTAGTGCTAAGTCTCGAAATAGTGGTGCAAGCAAAGGCTGGGACTTTTTTGGCCCTTCCTGCTTCCCTGTTTTTCACGCAGCTGCTTCCTGCTTTGCCAGTCTTGTGTAGCTGCTACTCATGCTTCTTGCCATGAAATGGCATACATGTTTCCTTTGTGAGAGTACTGTTTTTCTGAATTGGGGGAAATTGATTTGGTCGGATCATCGATCAACTGCAGGTGTTCATCAATGTGCCGTGGTGGTACCTCGCGGCGAACAAAGTGATGAGCCCATTCCTGACCCAGCGCACCAAGAGCAAGATCGTCTTCTGCAGCCCTGGCAAGTCCGCGGAGACCCTCTTCAGGTTTGCAGTCTTGCACACAACAAACGGATTTAGAGTATCAATCAGCGTGCCATTGCTACCATACATTCAGATTTCACATCCTCACGTCTAACGATCGCATCGAATTTGATACAGATACATCGCGCCAGAGCAAGTTCCGGTCCAATTCGGTGGCCTGTATAAGGAGGATGATACTGAATTCTCCACCTCTGATGCTGTCACCGAGCTCACCGTGAAACCATCCTCCAAAGAAACCATTGAAATCCCAGCCACCGAGGTTTGTTTGGCTCCTTTGTTCCTGCATCCTGAATCTCATGCGAATCCCACATTGCGACGACGAAACTAATCGCCATCTTTGCAGAACTCCACCATCGTGTGGGAGCTCCGCGTGCTGGGATGGGAGGTGAGCTACGGCGCGGAATTCACCCCCGACGCAGAGGGCGGCTACACCGTGATCGTGCAGAAGACGAGGAAGGTGCCGGCCCATGAGGAGCCGATCATGAAGGGGAACTTCAAGGTCACCGAGCCCGGCAAGGTGGTGCTCGCCGTGAACAACCCGGCATCGAAGAAGAAGAAGCTGCTGTACCGGTTCAAGGTGAAGAGCACCGCCGAATCCGCCGCCTGATCGATGGTGGTTCCAGGCACAGCCAGCTGCGCCTGATCACCCGACATAATTTGATCGCCAACCAGGTCCACAGGTCCATACCCGCCACCATTTGAACATGTTGCATGATAGGAGAGGACAATAAAGAGTTTCTCTGTTACTTTCTAGGCCCGTTCCGTGTCTCGGTTCTTTGATTGTTTGTTGGCTTGCTGTTCTTTTTTGGGGTCGCATTTGTATGTGTTTATTACTTGAAAACCAAAGTGAGAGCTTGTTCTATGAGATAGCGATGGACTGAAGAATAGTTGCTGCTCTGTACTGTACATGCGTCTGTACATTTCATCCATGGATTCTCTTCCATCAACATCATCCTTTTCGGTTGGCTGGTTTATATCGTCGTTGGTTTATGAATAAGTACTGTTGGCTGATTTGTGTGAAAGAAAAATATTATTCCAGTTGAAAATTTACGATCGTATACCATCGTTTTAAAAAGCATGCCTGATTTGTCCCCTCTGTCGTTGCCGGCGCCATGTTACTCCCCCCTCCCCATGTTCTTGTGCTGATTCCATTCTGTCGTTTCCCCTGTTGCTTTGCTTTCCATGTGGCATCGAGGATGACGAGCCATTTCAGACAAGTTCATTCCATGGACGTCAGGATCTCACCCCTTTCCATGCTTATCTATATAATTAATTATTTTTTTTACCTATATTTAATGCTCCATGTATATGTCCAAAAATTAATGTGATGGAGAGAGAGTGAAAAAACTTGGAATTTTGATGAGATCTAAACAAGGCCCTAGAAAAGAATATACCGCTAAGAGTATTTCATGTTTGACCATGTTTTTAATGAATATTATTCATAGTTATGGCTCCAAATCAATTTATTATAAAAATATATTTCGTAATTAATCTAATAATATTTATTTGAATATCATAAATGTTAATATTTTTAATTTATAATTGGTTAAATTCAGAATACTAAAACGTGATACTATGCTAGAATTGCATTTTTTCATGGATGGAGAGAGTATGTCCGTTCAGTTTGAAAAATCTCTGGAATCAGTTTGCCAGGGGCTGTGGTCTGTAGAACACTACAAGTGAAAGCAATAAAAAAAAACACTACAAGTGAAAAGGCACTGTGTGCGAGTATTTAGCGCTGATGCAATTCCTAATTAGGCAAAGGAACACTTCCTCTTGTACTGTGTGCATCATTTGCATGGCAACATGGCATTGGCTGATTGCAAGGCAGGCATCTTCCAGCGTGTTTGTGCTTCTAATGATGGCCGTTAATCATGCTTAGGTGGTGGGGCATAATGGCCCCATTCAATTCGCTGAAAAAACAAGCTGAAACACTGTTCCGACTGATTTGTTACGAGAGAAAATATTGTTCCGGTTAAAAAAATAAACTGAAAAGTACGAATTATAAGACAAGCGAATGGGCCAATGTTAAGGCTGTCATTCCAATCACTGAACGGAAAGCAAAGAACCAAAGTCCAAACAAAAGCACAGCCACAGCACAGCAAAGCAAGCAAGCTGCAGATAGATCATAGATGGACTCAATTGTAACAACCAGGAACAGGCAGAGGCAGAGGAGAATGTTTGTGAGGCTGTGGCGCTGAGAGACTGAAATTTCCGGTTTGACCACGCCACCGGTCCGGGGCCATAAAAACCAAAAGGAGGCGCCGCCTGGGCTGGGCTCGCCAGTCGCCAGTCATGATGCGTGTCCAGCGCGGCCACGACGCCATGATCCCCCGACCTGTACCTGCACGAATAATGCAGGGGTCGAGAGGACAACATGTGCGTTGCCTCGTCTTTATCCGAGTGCTCAGGTTTTTCAGTGATTAGGGGAAGAGCCTTATGATTCAATTAAAAGGCATTTCCATGGAAAACTACAAGCCGCCATTGTTGCCTACTTAGACGGGCCTGGTCGTGAGCTCTTCTCATCAGGATCGCCGTGTATCGCGTACGCGTCCGTGCGGTTCTTGTATTCGTACGGTTTTTTTTTTTAAAGGAACAAGGCACAAGGGCTGCATGTGTTATATTAAAAAAAAGGAAGATGAGCCAAGACAGACCAGAACAAGACTGTACAACAAAACTACACAAAGAGTGTAAAAGAAAAACACTCTCAAAGTCGGCCTATCAAAATTGCCATATGTTTTTGCTCTTGCCATGATCACACTCCGCTTTCATCTTTTATTTTCTGTAATAATTGATTATAAGGTAGCTCTTTAAGATTGAGAATTCAAGCATTTCTTCCATTCTAAATTTCCCAAGAAACAAAGAAGATTATAGAACACATTCCTTTCCTGGAGTTACAAGGTACGGCTGAGAGGGAGGTCCACCCTTGATGAAGTGACTCGGCTTGTGACAGGAAGGCAAAAAGAGGCCACTGAGTCCTATCAAAGTAGCAAGTTCCTCCCAAATACACATGGGTATCTGCAATGAGTAAGGAGGTGGAGGACAGCTTCTGTCTCTCTACGACAGAGGGGGCAAACAACGTTGTTGGGCCAACGTCTCGCCTAGAGCCTATCCGCCACCCAAAGTTTATTTTGGATGGCGAGCCATCTAAAAATTTTGCATTTTGGTGGTGCCTAAACCTTCCAAATGAGTGTGTCAAGATTGGTTGTTGCGATCCTATAAATTGAGCTCTGTAAGCTAAGTTTGCAGAATATTCACCATCACCGTGTCTACTGACCATGTATACGAGAGAATTGGACCCCGGGTCTATGCAATTTAATTCCGCTAATGCAGGAGAGGTAGTAGGTCGTGGGGCTACAGTAGCCTACTTGCATTGTGCCTTCATCATCACCTTCTTCTCTTCTTCTTCTACTTCCATCTCCTACAACTAAAAAGAACAAAAGTAAGACTATTTTTTCGTGTGACTTTTTTTGGACGTCTTCGCTCCGCCTCCCCTGCGATACCCGCCTCCTGTCCGCGCGCAAGTCGCTAAAACACCGCAATCACCGCCCCCACGCATCGTGCGACCCGCTGGATCCCACGGGCCGCCGCGGCGCGTGCCGCTCCCCATCCCCATCCCCGCACCACTGTCGCCCTCGCCCCTCGCCGTCGAGCGGCTCCCCCGTCGTCCTTCTCACCCGATTCTGTCTCGCGGCGTCCTCGCCGTCGCGGGCGTCCTCGCCATAGAGGGCGGTCCTCGCCGTCGAGCGGCCGCCGTCCCTTGGTGCGTTCCTGCAGCCCTCGATCCCACGACCGGCGGCGGCCTCACTCCCCTCAACCGACGGGGTGCTGCCCTGCTCCCCTCGACCGACGATGGCCCTGCTCCCCGCGACCATGGTGGCATCAGGCCCTCCGCCGACCGCTGCTGCCTGGTCACGGTCGCGGCCAGGCCAGGGATGGTGAGAAGCAGCGCGTATGGCGGATCCGGCACGGTCGGCCTGGATCTGGCTCCTGGATGGCGAGAGGTGGCGACTGCTGAGTGGACATGAGGATGAAGGGTGGCGAGATGAGCATTAACCCCGTTCGTGCTGGTATGCGGTCTTTCCTTCCCTTTTGTTGCCTCCCCTTCATTGCCTACGGAATGCGCTGATGATTGTGTCTGATCCTTAACCAACGAAATTGGTAGCAGTACGTATTTTGAGTGCTCCACTACTAATCATTGGTCAGATGGTGATGCAGTTCTCAAATCAGAATAATGGTCAATGATGCTTTGTAAATTTTGCAGTGGCCCGTACTTGTAGTGGCGAACACCAGCTGCTGGTGGACTTGAATCAGCACACAAGTAGCTCTGTGTAAGTTAAACAAACTGTTGTTGTTATAAAATAGTTATAAAAAATTGGATTGAACTTGGGGCTACTGAACTTAGACTTAAGTCCTTTTGCTACTAGATACATTAGAATGTTTTTATTGGCCTTGCTAAAATATGTTCGTTTCTACGGTTCATACTTTGATAGTCATTTGTTTTTATGATACCGATTTTGATGTAGCTGCACAAAGAATATATTTATTCCTGCAGTAGATAGTCATTTTGTATTCTTGTTTATTCTGCTAGATGGGCTTGCCTGACCAAAGAATATAATATTTTTTTGTAGATAATTTGATAATGTAGCTATCTACTATATAAATTGCGCAATTCTTTCGTATTGTGTGGTGTCCATGAATAATTGCAAATCTATATTTTTATCAGCCGGTGGTGTCCGTGAAAAGAAGTCTCAATCTTGATCCACTTTCACTTACTGCTTTACTCATGCTTGGCGTTTTGCTGTTTCTGCTATTTTCTACCTAAGTATGATGTTGTGGATCAGACTCCTTAGACTATGTATCTCTATGACTGACATTGTCAAGCTCGACCATACATTGGTGGGCACATAATTTGCATGTTAAATTTTCACAGTTTCGTCCACACAATTACTACTATTCTTTTGATGGAACAACACAACTCCTAGCCTAGATCATCATAGTGGATATCAATATCATAAAGAAATAGTAGACATTGTTACGAATAGCTAAACAATAAATAGGACATTTTCTGAATGACTTCTTATTATCAGTTATTATCACAGGCTTGTTGCTCCCTTCCCCTGCCGAGAAGAACAAGATCAGCAAGAACGCTGGAGCGGGTGAAATATTCTTTCACCAACTTCTCATTCAAGGTAAACTATTATCTAAAAAATACCCTGTTCCATTGCATAAGAGTTTTCTTTTCTGAATATTGTCTTTGATGACTGAATTGTCCTTTCCTTCTTTTTTTTTGTGTGATGTGCAGACCATCTCTCAGCTAGCATCCATGAACTACGACCTGATGACAAAGCACAACTTGGATCCTTTGCAGTCCTCGAAATAAACCTTGATATCAGAGCAGTAAAGGTAGGTAATAATGTTCTATTTATGAATGTCGTCAGCTATTGGACTTCGACATCAGTAGAACCTACCTACATTGTTCTTCAGTTTTTGTTAGTCAGGAACTGAACCTCACCAGTCACCACACCAGCAAGCTTTGACTGAATAATTGTAGTTTCTTCTGTAACATGTTGCCCAGTCAATGAGCACAATTAACAAAAAACTAATGCGCGCCAAATCCGAATCACATGTAGTGGTGAGACGAAGTATTTATAGGGAAGCTTCTTCACATGAAGGATAAGCAAAATCAGATTGCTAATGCAATAGCTTGCACTGAGAGTCTGAGACTATCAGAAGATAGGATGGTATCCACTGTTGTAATCTCTGAGATAAATAAACATTTTTTGCATTGGTGTAGAGAGTTATCTAGGAATTGTACAGTAACTTGTATAGATCGGTACTTTTATCAAACCAAACTTTTCTTATCTGCACAATGATGCTCTGTGATGCTCAAATTTGAGCTGGAAACCATTCTTCCATATTATGTAAATAATATCTGATCTATCAGAATGACTGAGAAGATGCACACATCATTATGTACTTCCGATAGTCACTAATATTGTTGTAACTTCTGAGCCAATTTTCAGTTTTCCTGTGCTGCATTTGCTGACTACTTATTTGATAATCCATAATACGCACAGAGAGCTAAAGATCAGGTTGTCGTGAGTACCTAGGATAAGAAAAAAAAAAGATGTAATAATATTAGTTTAGCTTATTATCATTTTTGTTTTGATTTGAAAGTTGTAGTGATGTGAGATTTTGATATTAGATAGTAGGAGGTATTCTCATCATTTCTTGCGGGAGCTTTAACGAAAACTGTCATCTACGCTGGCAACCAAACAAACAACTTTTTTATGCTGATTTCGTTATCATGTAGCTGCTGTCTCGGATGTGAAATGTGATGACCAAAGGAGGAGGAGAAGGTGCAGCGAGAGGAACTAAAAGGTTAGAAGATTCCACTTCCCTGGTTTCTTTGGTTCTACTGTTCAACTTATATGAGGGCAATGTTTGATGCTGGTTTTGTTATCATGTAGCTGTTGCCTCGATGTGAAATGTGATAACCCAGAGGAGGAGGAAGTTGCCAAGTTTTTTTGAACGAGACAACAAAGGAGGAACTGGAGGAGGGTGAGGAAGGTGAAATTTATTTTTGCACTCTATCTGTTATCATGAGAGTTTAAAAGTTCATCGTTTGCTTTGTAATTCGTTGATAATAGAGGGGACCAATGAAGGAACAATAACCAGATCACAGAACTAGACATTTCTAATTTTAGCTACTACTTAGTTTTGCTACAGTGGTTTTATGTTACTAGCCTATCCTGTTATTTCACCCTCCGGTCAAGCAAACAAAATGGCAAAAACCTCTTGGTTATTTTAGTTCAATGCTTCTTTGTTCCGTTTGTGCCTCCATGATTTGCTTATGTTGCTTCTTTGGTTCCATGTTAGCAGGCTTTCCTATTATTTCGCCTTCTCATCTCCTACAACTAAAAAGAAAGAAAGTAAGACCATCGTTTTGCATCAGAACCAAATCGAGCACTTCGACAATCCTCCACATGATCTACATAAGTATTGATAAACGCCGGAAAGTAATTCAATAATCTTAGCCCATTCTTCATCAATCCAGCTACACTAAAATGCATCTGTGGGAGATAATCCCCACTAAAAGGTACTGCAAAACCAATTCAGATGCTTGGTAGCGATTGCATAAATCAAAGCCACTCGATGCCACGCATGTCCTGATGCGACACCAGAGCAGCTTATCATCATTTACACCGCATCAGCATAGCCACTTATTAGGCACTCCCTGTCATCATCATATCACCATTTACCATGGTGGCGGCCCTTCCCTTTTTCCCCCTAATGGCGGCGGCTTCCAAAGCCCTTGAGCCTTATACTGTATCCCCCATCCCGATGGCCTTCCGTGCGTGGTGTTCGGTGATGGGCATCCATGTAATTCTTATGAAACATCTCGGGCTCTGGATCCGTCAGGACCGGACACGGTGGTGGTGGATTCCCTTAGCTACATCTGCGTAGCGTCACCGCTTAATTAATCCCGTGAGGCCCTCGTCCCACTTCGTCGTCTTCGAAAAGGAAATTCTATAACTGAATTAACATGCAGCCAACTCTAATATATGCGCGCGCTCGCGTCGTCGCTGCTAACTTTCACGCGAAGAAGCTCGGCCACACCAGCGATAAGATCTCACATCGATAACAATAAAGGCCTGTCTAGGATCCGGTGCTTGCAAAATATATCGCGATATATATGATGGATATATATGATCCCCGCTCTCCGTCGCCGGAAGCTTAGAGTCTAATTAGAACATCCGGTGAATCGAAAAAATTCCAAAGCCGGAGCGGAATATCATAAGCCATAAGCGCGCGATCATAGATCGATGAGTCATTTGGGCCCTAGTATCATTCATCGAATAGCACGCACCGATTTACCTTTACTGGCTATAGAAAAATTATGATGATTCAAACAAGATCCATCTAATAAAAGCTAATTCTACAACTCAACTACACATGCGCCGCTCTCTAATTAATTTAGCCTAATCACAATTTTAGACCACAGATAGTAAGCCATGCCTCAACAAGTTTGCCATCCAGAATTTCTAAAACATATTCTTCGATGGCTTCACTTGGAACCATAGCATTTGGCTACCGTGCTTCCAATCATGCCCAGGAATGGTTCCCCGAAGGCGTCACGTGTGCTTGTGGCACCCCTCTGCTCCATTAACGCTTCTTGCCGTCTCCGGTGAAGCAAGACCATCCCTCTCTGTTTGTTGCTCCTATTGTGGTTTCCTCTGTGTTTCTCTTAAACGATTTCACTTTACGACTTAGAAAATGGATGAGCATGTCTTTGCGTTGACGGATTCATTCCATTTGTACAAGGAAAGCCGGTGCTTACTCTTAATCTCCATTCCCATCTACCATCTATTACTCACTCTGCACATATCAATATATCTATTTGTTTCCCTACATTGGGAACACATCTGTAACTTTGATTTGCAGCAGCTGCTCTTTGCGTTTTCATGGCGATCGCACGTTATTTCCCCACTAATCCCCATCCCCATCTCCATATTGTTCAAAGACATATCAATAGATCTATGAGTGGGTAGCACTAAATCCCTTTATGTCCTTTGTCGCTTGAGTTACTTATTTAATTAATGCACTTGGCAAAACTCATCTTTGCATCCAGGGATGAAATAATTATGTCTTTAATTAATCATGGATATGCAAGTTCCTTTCAGTTATCATTCTATCCCATGCGTTTTTCCACCTTCACAGCACATATCAATATATCTATTTGTTTCCTGCATAGTGGAACACCTTTGTAACACTTTGATTTGGTGTAGCCGCTCTTCGCTTTTCAGCTTGGTTATCCCCATCTCCATCTGCGATTGCCATATAGTTACTTATTTAATGAGCCACAAAGTTTTGCCTCACATTTTTTCCCTTCAATGTGTAGGTTTCGATGTGCATGGTTATAAAATAGTTGCATTTGTTCTGATGTAGATGGTTGTCGGCTTTTTGAAAGAAAAAAAGGTATGCTTAGTTTCTGGGCCATCTTCCCATAATTATGGAGTTACAATCTATTTCTTTTAGTGACATACTTCTTATATTAATACCTGGAGTGCAATATAGACATGTATCTACGTGTACTCTAAATTATACCACCTCTAGAATACAAGCTTTTGAGTGCTATATACATTTACAATGTTATCCTGCAATTTCCATGTAGAGTTCATTCCAATTTAGTTAGGACTGTAAAAGATATCGGCAGAGTTGAACCTTGCATATGATATCTAACTTACATCCTGGATTGTAAAATAGATATGGAGGAGTACTTGGCGTAGGAAGACTGTGCCACGCAAATGAAATACTCCTCCTTCCTGCCTCAAAATCACAAGGAAATCACTCTAAATTCTAGAAGCTGACACAACATATCGCGCTATTTGGATGATTTCAGGAACTACTATTGGCTATCAAAAGTTTGTGCAGGTTGAGAGCTTCTAAATGGTCACTGAGTCTCTATATCTTCAACTTGATTACAAAAATATAGGTAAAAGACGATATTCAACAGGCTATTAAAGGTCTTGTCTGCAAATTCTAGAAGCTATCCAGACTACATATTAAGGAAGATGCATAAGTAACAATTGCAATTATAGGTTCCTCAGTTGTTTGCTTACTGAATATGCCTTTACCATGCGCGTCGTCCTCTTTATGAACTTTAATAGCCTTGTCAATTGATATATGCCCTCGCTAAAGAATATGTTCTTGCCATGTGTACATGTGACAATGAGATGTCCCGTGTAATATATTATGTCCATATTAGATTATTATATTATTAGTTGTTTCATGCAGTATGAATTCTCGGCTCTTTCAATACATAATATTATCTATACAATTTCTCTCATTTTCTTATGTTCATTCATTTCCTTAAAATATTTGATTTATTGCTGGAAAATGTAGACCCATAGTCAACTCTCAATGACAGGTACCATGTATTATCTTCAATTCAATTTTGTTTTAACCATAGTCCTATATATGGATCACAAATTTGTAAATTTTATATATGATGGTAGCGAATAGTATTAAAAGTTTCAATATTATTTTAATGGAATTCCACTACTTTTATTGTCATTGTTATATTACAGGTTCCTGTGAGAAAGTAGTAATTGACAAGGACAATGTTGCCAAAGGGCTTCACGAGCTTGTCACCCACTACAACATAGCCAAGCTTGTAGTGGGAGCAGCAGTAGATGAATACTACTCAAAGTATGTGTCACAATCTTGTATGCCACACTTTGTTTGTTTGTGCTGCTAGGCTCCAGATTCGCCATGATCCACCATTGCGGCAGCCTCATCCAGGCGTCGTCTAGGCAAAGCCCCATGTGAGACGTAGTACCAATTTTTTCCTTTTCTCCTTCTCCTAATCCATCTCCATAAATTGGATTAGCGTATTCCAGCGTTTAACTATTAACGAGTATTTCTTCTATTGTACATCTTTGATGACCAGTACCGTGACATGGGGATATATTTTAATCCCTTTGACCCGACAAGAGTTCTGTTTGTAAACTAAAGCTAGATGGTTTTAGTTGCCTGTTTCCTTTTTTTTTTGCATTTCCTACCCTTTGCGATAATGGAAAATTGTAGTAATATATTTTCTTATGCACATAATATGTTCCTGGCATGTACCCCTACCATTAATTGGTTCTAATTTGGAAAGCACTTTACATATCTTTCTCCTCTGCCAGGGATCAGATATTTCATCTCTTGTGCAATGCCTTGCTCTTTATCTGACTTCCTTCGCTGTCCTTTGCAGGCATTAGATGCCATTTCCCTTTTTGTTTACAAAAATCCAAGCTCATTTTGATCCTACCCTTATATTATGCAGCATATTATGATATATTTCTGTTTCCATACAAAATGAGATCAAGACTGATTATGCTCAGGTACGCCATCTTTATCATTATATTGTCTGCCGCTGTCTGCAATTCTGAAATTATTTTCCCCGATTCAATCTGGTATATTACAGGAATTTGTAAACCTCATTTGCCTTCCTGATTATTTAGTGGACATGTTCAGATTTTTTTGCCAGCCTATATAACATGGGAGTCACTATGCTAATACAATTGGTAAACTACGCTATTATGATCTATCCTTTTCCTTCAGCTCAGTCTAGGGAGGTATTTGGTTTCCTTTCTGATTTTTTTCCCATTACGATTGTGATTCGCCCGTAGAAAAATAGGAATCACGGCAAAATAGGAAGTAGAAAATTATTGTGCTATCCATATACACATTGCATGTTTGCATGCATCAGCATACATGGCAACAAGCTCCCCTGCGCCTTGCTCCAAGAAAAGAGAATTAACACAGAAGGAAAGAGAATTAAGACTAAAGGAAAGAGAGAGAAAGCTATCAATCCTTTGCTATAAATCATGTGGCCTCGCCATAGCGCCCACCCTCGCCGGCTGAGCTCGCCCTCGCTCGCACCGGCCTCTGCCCTCGCGCCCTCCCTCGCACACCGGCTGTGCTTCACCATAGCGTGTCGCCATCGTCGTTGTCTGCCACCATCGCCTTCGCCGTCTTGCTGTGCCCTTGAGGAGGACTGCGGACTGCCACGAGGAGCTTCCAACATCTTCTATCTTCCACAAACGTCCACCCTGTTAGTGAATCACATCCTGCCCTGATGTGTTTCTTTATTTGTTATTGCCTCCGGTGCTTGTGTGATTTGAAATCATGCCTCTTTAAGAGTCTTGGATAGATACGTGTAGAGGCAATGTGATGCGTGTTGTCGTGGTAGTAGTTTGGGAATGGTTGGTTCAGTAATTCGTCATGAACCCTCTATGTTTCTGCTTCAAGTTCTTAGACTGTGAACCTCTATATGTGCCTGAAATCGAATCGTTACCGCAGCCATTTGCCATGATTTCGTGCTTCTGGTTACTTTGATTTGATGTTTATTGCCTGTGTGGCTTAAAAAATACCTAAGGGTATCGTCTGCGCTACGCCCCGCTCCGTCGCCCCACTCTGTTGATCCCAAACATGCAATACGAAACTGAACCATGCATGTCCACATGTAATACAAAACCAAGACGGAACCATGCAAACATGTACGTCACCCATTGGAGACTTGTACATGCCAACACATGCAACACGAAGCCCACACATGCAAACATGCTACTTGCACAGTACCATCTTGGAGCCTTGGAGGCCTGCCGGGACCCGGGACAGGAACCGTGCCACCAGGCGCTTGCTGCTTCTTGGAGGCTGCCAGGCTGGGAGTTCAGGACAGGGGCCATGCCACCAGATGCGCGGAGTTGACCTGGAGGATCTTGAGAGCGGCGAGGTCGCCAAGGGACGATAGGACTAGCGTCCAGACATCAGCGAGAGAGTAGGATTAGCGTCCAGACACGGCGAGATCCCAATCCCATGCACAACAGTTGGACGGAAGCCACAAGGAGAGTAGGATTCGGATGCTGAGCTACGCTTTCACCCGAACAGCACGGCACGCTCGGAGGCATCCACGCGGCCTACTCATCAGAGGCCTTCAGTGCAGTAGCGACAGAGTGCGCCAGCCTAGCCGATGAGCTGGTGTTCCACGACGAGACGAGGCACGCGGCATGTGTGTCGTGGGTGATACGGCACGAGCGGGTTGTGGGGGACGCCGACACTGTGGCGGCATTCCTACCGGCGAGGAAGGAGTAGAGGAGAACGGCAGCCATGAGCCCACAAGCTTCGGGGCCAAACTGTTGCACGCGACACGGGGACGACCGAAGAAGGGCCAAGGGTGCTCACTGGCTGCACGCGGCAAGGCGTTCGAGGAGAAGACCACCGTGACCAAGTGACTCCTCTTCTAGCATGTAGCATCTCATCTAGCCGGACGGCGGCAGCGAGCGCGTGGTCAAGGCAAGGAGGACGCATGGGCAAGGAGTGGGCGACGTGCATGCCGAGGCAGGCAACATGCAGACGTCTGAGCAAGGGCCAATGGTGTTGGCGATTTAGGTGGGTTTGTAGCCGAGCAGTGGCAAGATGCTTGACCAGTTTGTGGTGGAGCCTGGAGAGCATTAATTTGAGATGCAACTTTGAAAAAGCTAACTTTGTCCATTGCTTGTTTGGGTCTTAACATCATTAAATTTATCATGTTAATTTATATTTTTTCTACGATCTTTCTCTGGATCTACACTAAAGATCATAAAATAGACTTTATATATTCATCTAAGGCACAATCCACGTGTGTTGGCGTTGGCATGACTAAAAATAAATTTGTTACCTGTGCATTGCTTTGGTTACTTTGACTAAAAATTGTTTCTAAGGCATCATGATAGCAACCAAAACATGATCTCATTTGGTGGTTTGATTTGCATCACGATCTATCACCGTATATTGCAGTTCAAATTTTGTTGGCACGTGGCCACGCATGGGCATCAAATTTGCGGTCATGTATGCTAGCAAATTAATAATGTATGTATTGTAGTTATTTTAGAGGCCTCACATGACGTCATCAAGATAACAGGATAGAGGCACAGAGCACGCGGACAACTTTAAATCTTTAATTGTCTGTCGATCTCTATAGAATAATAGTATATTATGTTAAGACTGACTAATGTCATCCTGTATATTTTTCATGATTTTGGTTTCTCAGTTGCCGATATGGGTTCTGCCTGTCGGTCGTTCAAAAGAAAGAGGGTATACGCTGACCTGCCGCCTGCAATCACCGATACACACATCTATATGTAACTACGTTACATTTATCTTGTAATTGATCGAGGCAATCATTTTCTATCAACATAGGTTTACTCGTGTGTTTTATCATTTTGATTGACACGGATGGGATTGTAGATGGGTTGAATTCTATGAAGTGGGAATGGGACACATATCTTCCATATGGGATGTGGGTGCCATGGTTTTTTGAAAATGCAACGTACGACATCACCATGGTGATACATATTTGCGTGTAATTTTGAAGGATGGGCAGGTGTATTTTGAGCTCATCTTTTTGGACCATGTCTAATTTTTTTTCTATAGACCATTGTTATCTATCTGTTGGATCTAATATTCTTACAGGGAACCAAAATGGTTACGCGTACGGCGACCAAACCATGAGGTTCGACCGTTTGCTTCGTGTAGGAGAATGTTATGACTTCATGAGAGTTGGCTTCGCGCCTACTCATGTTGGTCCTTTGGGCTACATCTTCCGTTTATGTGCCGACTACTTTGTGGTTCTATCTCCACAAAGTATGGCTAATGCACCATCGAGAGAGCTATGGATTTATCGGTGTCCTCGTGCCTTTATGGAATTCAAGGATGTATACGCTCAAGCTGAGTACTTTTTTGTAGGTATACCTCATACGCCTATGTGTTTAAAAATACATAGTTAACTGTTCATGCTCCTATTCCATCAATAATTATCGTTTGTGTTTGTAGATGTCATTGGTATAGTTATGCATGTGTCTAATATTCGAGGAAGGGATGACGTGCGGATGCGACCGTACAGACTATGTGGTGCTGATGAATGAAAGATACTTAGAATGAAAATTTTATCATTGCTCCATGCTATCAAATTTTTTATTGTTTGATGCTAATTAATTTTGTAACTCGTAGGTACCACTATATTATAATAACCGTCAAGTATACACACATATGTTGTCGCTTGTCGGAATGATGGCGAGCGGTATCAGAGTTGCGCATTTTAGCTGGTCTCCATGTATAAATGAATAGAAAAAGAGGTATTGTATCACTGATGTCATCATATGTATTGACTAAATAAAGTATCAGTTATTACATTTTTTTTGCTCGTGCATGATAGGCGGAGTGACCACTACTGACGATTTTAGCGAATTGTTATTCAGTCCTATTTGTAATCAAGCGCATGATTTTCAAAGTGAGGTTCTTTTGAGGTAATTCATTGATTTAATTTATTGACTACAACACTGACCCAAAAGTTTTTTATTTGTTTATAGGCCTACTCAATCGTCTGCTTGTTGATGAAGCGACGTCGCCGAGTTCAAGAATTTACTAAGGACACCGTGTCGCATCTCATAGATTTAGAGAACTAAATAATATTAAAATTATTTACACGCTTATAACATGCACTTTGAATAGATGATGGACATGAATTTAGTTTAATATAATAGTTATTTTGTGTATTTTCATTGATCAAACAGGTTCAAAATATGTGGATTGAGCAATGTTTGTCTGACATATTTGATTGCTTCATTTAGTTTGTAATATCGGAGATTTTTTACCGATATAAAACATTATTTTAGCCGTATCACGAAGTTCTATATAGTAGAGTTTGTGAACATGCGGTGCCGTGCTCTTAGTGACTGTTAATTTCACAAACTTTGTTTTTAGATTAAATGTCAGTTTAATGTCTTATAGAGTATTATTATCTTATCGTGCGATCCATGTATTTTTAATACAAAAGTTACTTGTCCCGTAGCATCACACGGACACGCTACCTAGTCTAATTTAAAGAGAAGAGATGGATGATTAGGGTTGCATTGTGCTTGGATGGTCCAGACTTCCGGAGACCCGGCCAGAACTGTAACTTGCAAAGCTGCAGCTACATATAATATAGGCTGCAATTGTCGTCCCTAGGACTAGGGCTTTATTTAGATTGTAAGTTTTTTCACTCTCTTTTCATTATATCAAATCTTTAAACACATGCATGAAGTATTAAATGTAGATAAAAAATAACTAATTACACAGTTTAATTGTAAATTACGAGACGAATCTTTTGAGCCTAGTTAGACCATGATTGAACAATAATTGTTAAATACAAACGAAAGTAATACAATGCTAAATACTAATTCCTAACCCCAATCTAATCAAGACACAGTATGGAGAGTTTTCAGCGTGACATCTCCAGATCGGGACCAAGGCAAAAGTTAATGGCTCCCGTTCACGTTATACAATTATTTGCTGCATTGCGATAGAGTGCTCACACACACACATATTCCTCACCATTTCCTGCTTTACGGTCCCTCCTCCCTTTCGCTCAGAGAAGGAGCAGCGTCCCGGCCGGCGTGAGATGCGCTTCACTCTCACTCGCTTGACCACCCGGCCGCGGTCCGGTCCGGGCTCTGGATCATCAGTCTCAGCCGTGGGCAGGAACGTTTCCGTGGTCACTGGTCCCTTCCCTTGGATCCTCTTTCCTCAGTTCTACTAGTAGTGACCGTGCGCCATATGTGTAGTCTGCAATTCTGCATGCCGAAATCTTTGCTGGATTCCTGAAACTCAAAACCAGATCGTGTAATAGTATGCTCCTGTCTGTGTGTCCATGTCCCAACGGTTAGCTTTGCTGCAGATGGAGCACCTGCCGCCGGCACGTTTTGGTCTCGAGTCTCGACTTCACCGGCCGGGTGGCACTTTCCATCATCCGTAAAGAAAAGTGGGTGAGATAGAAACATGCACGGTAGATTGGACGCGACCTATCATTTTCCTTGTGAGAAAGAAAGATGGAAAGAAAGAAGAAGATGAAAGCCGCGGCGGGTGGGCAAAGTGCTTTTGGTTGGATGCGTACGCATGCACGAGCTTCAGAGCACGCCGCGCCGTTGTAAGCACCCGCCATCAGCGTGCAGCACAGAGCATGCAGCAGGCCGTTGGAAAACACCGTGGCAACGGCGAGGCATGGCAGCTATACTTGCTATCGTTTGATGACACTAACACGCATGCCTATCAGCCTATCCGGCTATCCCCTGTAGTCCTATATCAAAATTCAAAAAGAAAAGGAGAAGAGGAAACATGGGCCTATCAGTAGCCTGTCAGTCAAGCTGCCCATACGTTGAGCTAGCTTCAGCAGCAGGCAGCCAGTTCTGTGCCGGTCGTGGCTTCTCGCTCTTTTGTTTTTGTTTCGAGGAATCTAGCTTCTCACTTCTGTCGACCGCCACTTGATCAGAGTATCAGAAAGAGGTGTAGTATACATACGAGAAAATGAGACGACAAAGGCAGAAAGCGAATGGCGCATTCGATCAGGGGAAATGTTAATGAAAGAAAGAAGAGCGAGAGACAAATGATGAGCGATGCGGGGGGGAAAAAGTGAAGCCCACAAAAGCACAGCATGTTTGGGGAACTGGTAAAGTTAACAGTTGCTTATCTTCCCTCCCTTTGCTAAGAGGCTGCTAATTACATGAGCAAATGTTTTCTAACTGTCATCATTCATCAATATCAAGTACTCCCTCCGTCCCTAAAGAAATCAAATTTTAAAATATCAAAACAAAAAAAAATCTTAGACCGAATCTATAGAAAAAAAAACTCTAAGTACCTATGACACTGAGCATATTGTGGAAATATAGTCTACGGTATCTCTAAAGATACCAGTTTGGTGTAAAAATCTTCATGCTCTTTTCTTTACATAGATCGAGTTTTAAAATTTCAACTTAAGACAATCTACTTAGCAACGAAAGGATAATATTATATAAGCAGTAATCTGTCACTTCGAGCACATGTCCATTCCTAGTGTTTAAGAAAGACTTGCAGTAAAGAACAAGGTAAAACAATCGTCCGTGTCCGTTTGCCCACTGGATTCATTACACGCAAAGCAAAAGCATCAGCTACATAAAGATCAGCCCGTGGGCTGTTTCATCCAGGGGCTAAAGATTAGCCTCTTACCCTGCAATGACTTACTTATCCCTAATTTATTACACATATATAGCCATGTGTAGGGGTGGGTGGGGATAATATGAGTCTTTTGTTCAACAGGACTACTTTTAACTCTCTTTAGCCTACCTTATAGGGGCTAATGGAAAATAGATAGGCTAAAGTTTAGCCTCCACTTTTAATCCTCCTGTTTGGATCAGCCTTCCATGGATCCAAACAGGACCTCAGCCCTTCGGTCTCGAGGTCACAACAAGACTCTTGGTTTCCAGAACTTGGTTGACTCCCAAATGGTTGGCCACTTGGTTGACTCCCAGGAGCTTGTGAATCATTTGATGGTGTAATGCCTACTCCCTCTAAAAAATAAGTACTATATCTCACTTATTGTACATCCAAACTCTATAAAAATAGTAATATTTATGATGTACAGAAAGTATCATTAAATTGATCGTGAAATATACTCTCAAAATAACTTTATTAGAGAATATATATATATATACTATTTTTATATTTCTAAAGAAATTTAGAAAATTTTGGCTATTTGAGAAATGAGATATGCTTTTTTTTAGATAAATTACATATACTATTTGTATCACCCAATCTTTATTTAGCATTGTGCGCCGCTTCAGGTTCCTAACGTGGACCTTTCCAATTGACTAGTTTTCTTGCGTAGTTAATTGAGTTTTCCCTTTCTTCTTGGAATATCTTTCTTTCCGTTGCATGCCAGCTTCTTAGTTCATCTCTTTCGTTGGAATGTCCATAAATATTTTTGATTAGTTTATCCTTTTGATTAGTTTTCTTGTAAGGTTGATGGACTTCATTCGATGATAGCTTTACCAACGAGTGAGCACACAATAGGAGTTAAAACCTCCACTGTTCATTACTACTCCATGTTCCACAAAATTTAGACATGTTTATTTGAGAAATGTTTAATAAAATCCACCTAGTTTTATAATTTTTTATAGAATAATAGTTATTCTATCAAATACAGAAACAACAAATCACTTATTGTACGGTGACTCAAATCCTACTTGACTAGAACTCAATAGTGTGTTATTAGGACTTATAGTTCTATTAAAACTTGAGTGTAGAATTCTACTAGGAGTAGTAAGACTCCTACTTACATGTATTGAGAACCTTGAAGGGACTATATAAACAAGGGGTATAGCCGTATGGGCCATAGGAATCAACCAAACCAACACAAAGAGTCTCATCCAAGGCTTGTAAATAGCAATTAGGAGCACTTAAGAGGATTAGTCTAGAAGTTCTATTGGACTATATTTTTGTATAAGGCAAGAATCAGTGGGTCCTAGAGGGTCAAGTAGGATTGTGAGAGAGAAACAATCACTTCTATTATTTTTGGAGTTGTTCTAATAGAATTTGCACTAGAGGTATCAGATTATGAAATCACTCAATTTTGCAAAGGATTTACATAGCTTTTGTGCCTCTCAAAATGTGAACTACTAGTCAAATATGGTAGTAATGTTCTTAGAGGCATGGAGTCTATTTCCTTATGCAAAGCGGCCAACCGGGCTTCAGATCCCTACACTTAGCATGTACTACTACTTATTATCTATTGACAGAAGCATGCTTGTTTATTGTCCGAGAAGAACTTGCGAGCTGTTTGTCCAAAGGAAATCTCCAATCCATGGGCTTCGTCCAAAGGAAATCCACATGGCCCGGCTAATGATGCTCGCTGTCGTTTGTTTCTTCCTGGGCTTGCACATTGGACTGGATAGTCAGGTCAGCTCTGTGCATCTCCAACGAGGCAGGCACATTGGGCTGGATAGTCAGGTTACCTTATAGATATTTTTCGTGGTTTATTAAAAATTTATCATGTAATTTTGTTTTTTAATTGAAAAGGGAGGAAACCGCACTGAAAACCACTTCTAACGAGGACAACGAGATATTCTTTTAA